TTAAGTCACGCCCCAGGTACGGCAATGTTGGTTCAAAGTTGAAGAGTTTCCAGTTTAACTTCAAAATTTTCACTTCCTTATTTCAGGTGCACTGCCAAAGCGGCCGTATGTACCACAAGCAACTCTTACACGCGGTCAAAAAGTCAAGCGATGGTTCCGGAAGTACTTTTTGGAGGGTTAGTGGTTGATTAATCGATTATTGATTCCCAAAAATAAATGGTAACCTAATTTTAGGCCAACATTTGGAAGAAGAAGCTGCGGCTGAGTTACAACATTTGCCGGAAAATCCCACATGGGAGGATTTGATCTTCATAAAGTACAGGAAATTCGTCGCGATGCTCATTCCGTTCGTCCTCATGCAGGTAACGCAAAAAATCAATAATTTTTGTTGAAGGAATATCATTAATTATTTTGAAGACTGTCTGGTGGATGGTCGCCATCCGACACAACTTCTTCCAATGGTATCCAGACTATTGGCACATGCCAGTGACAATGATTCTGGGGATCGTTTGTTGGAGGTAAACGATCAATATATCGATTTTTCTACGATTGGTGGATAAATATTCATTTCTTTAGGGATGACATCAGAGGGAAGTGGTGCGGTAGCTTTTCCCGTCATGACATTGGCACTTCATATTGCACCATCGATAGCCAGAGATTTCTCGCTTATGATCCAGTCATGCGGTCAGCGATCGATATATTGATTTTTGCCTGGAGCCTACGGTGTGTGAAAATCAGTCGATAATCGATCTTTCAGGTATGACATCAGCGCTTATGTGTGTGATGTTCATGAAGGTAAAGATCGAAAATCGTGCTGTGTGATACTCGGAACTCTCGGAGGCGATTCCCGGCTTCATATATTGGAGTGCATTTCGTGAGTTCTCCACAAAAAATCGATAATTGATATCGATATTTACGTTTTCCATTATACTACTTGCTATTTTTCAGATCGATCCACTTTTCAATGGGCCACAAAAGAAGATGATGTTCGTGGCTATCTGGACGGCGTTCGCTATCGCACTTGGAATTCTGAACTCCCAAAAGAGACGAAAGACCTACAAAGAAATCCCCGACTTCTTGCACATGGAAGGCCATAGTGCTGTTCATCACCGGATTCGTTGGAGGTCAGTGAAATAGCTGCAAATCAATCGATATTGATCGAGGTGGGCTGTGTCGAAAATCGATATATCGATATTTTCCAGGAGTTTTCGACGCCTTCGCCGGTTCGGGTGTGGATATTTGCATTTTCTCTATTATAACGCTGTTATTCCGTGTCACCGAAAAGACGGCGACGCCTACAACTGTTGTTTTGAAAGGTTCGTTCTCGTTACCGTATCCCCGCTATCCTTCGAGAAGGTCTCCATTTATTCCTCATAGGATGCATTGTGAGCTCAGTATAGTTACGAGTGTTCAATGATCTAGGCGTAAAGATTTAATGCGAGGCCATAGAACCGGTCGGGAGCGGGGATTGCGGTCCCACAGACAAACAAAAAAGAAACCGAGAATAACAACAATGACTGATGGTGTAACCTGCATGGTCACCACTAAACAAATATCAACTATGGAGAAAACAGATCATCGCATTCGGCCCGTGTTACTTTTGCCGGCACCATGGAGATTGTTCCATAGCTTCTTGCATTTGGAGCACTCTGTCATCACGCACTTTACCCTGCTTGTGACCACCGGCAGGAGACGCGCGCGGTTGCGTTGCGGCTGGGCTGGATTCGACAGCAGTTATATCCTTCATTCACATCAAGGAAAAAGTGACTTACGGGATTATTTTTGGTACTCAGTAAGCAAATATCGGCCTAAAACGAACGATCAATTGATCAATAGGTTCAAAACGTATCATCTTTGCCTGAACGAAACAGAGACTCTATCGCCACAAATAACACCCTGTCAGGGATGCCAGAACGGGACGCGCGCAGTTGCGTCGCGGTTCAGGCAGAATTATCGGCAACCGCTTCCTCATTTGGAGTAAGCGGTTCCTGTACAGCGGTTATAGAACCTTTGAGTTCAGTGAACTGGGACATTAAAAAAGTCATGGTTGCCAACACGCACAAGGCCATCACGGTGAGAAGAGTTCTTTCTACAGTAGCTTGAAAATTTCAGGGTTCTGGTGCAGTTGCACAAAAATACCCATGCTTTTACGACACGTGTAGCCTGTCTTGTCTTATGCATATCTGCCGAATGAATTATGCCGATCATTCCAGGTATAAACGCTGTTATTGGCTTCTTCTACCGTGCCGCTATGATGGGTGATATCTCAGCGATGGCATGGACCTATTTTTCACTTTCTGTGCCGGTCTCGTCACTAACGGGACCATTGGGCAGTTTTCTGGGGTCTCATCTCCACAGACAGGTGAGCTCTCAGCTTTTGAATTGCACCACAGAAGGTATACCTACCCTTGGTGAAGTTATGGGTAATCCTGCATAACTCTATTGGATCGCTGAGAACTTCGCTCACATTGCTCTTCTTTTAGTTTTGCAGAAGGGCTGTCTGTAGATCTCAAATTAACCAATTATACTGGGCGAAAAATTGTGAACCCTTTGGTTGAACCGCTTACCCGATCATTCACACAGTATTTGTATTTCCAGGATAAAATTCATACCTTTAGGTGATCGCTGGCTTTGTGTACATTTTGGAAATCATCGCTCTGATCGGTTTTCTATGCACGAAACCTGCATGGCAATTGATTGCAGTGGGAGGTAGGTTCAAAGTGACAATAATGGATTGTCCAGTCAATGTAATCGATATATCGATTTTTAGGATGCATAATCTTTGGCGGTTTCGTGTTCTTTACGTTCATCTCGAAAGCCGGTGAAAATATTATGAAGACCGTCGAAGAGAAAAAGTTGAAGGAAATACGGCAGTCCGGAGATGTCTGATTGGCGGACCGGCACGTGAGCGGCCGACGGCGCTGATTGGTCAATTTGCAATCGTGATGTCGTAACATCCACGCGCCACGCGTACTGTTCTTCGTTTTGTTTGTTGTCTCAATCATTACCATTGACTGGTTTTTGAGTTGTATAGAATCACTATTATACGTTGTTATGATCTCTCAAATGAATATTGACTTTATTGATTGATTTTTCCAAAGATTTGATTGCGGCGTCAATCAATACCTATTCAAACTGTCTATTCTAATAGGATTCAAAGGCATATTCCAAAATGTTCTGAAATGAACAGTGGGTACTATGCGGCTCAGTAGTGAAAAAAACGCGAGTGAGACAATCAAAAGCGTTCCAAATAAGGCAGGTTCGCCGAACAGTAAATGGGCTTGCGGCGATTTATACTTGGTGCCATAGTAGAAGAGCGGGTGCTGAAGAGTGCATAGATGGTAGAGACGCAGGTGTCACCAGTAATTTCAGTATGAAGGCGAAGTTGGAGCCCTTCGTTTTGCAGTTCATGAGCCTCGTATGGGTTCAGGCTGAAGTGGAACTGTGTTTTGAGACGAGAAAGAGTGGAGGTCAGGAGAGTGCATAGAAATAGGAGTGACGCAGACGCCATCAATCACGTACCTTTTCAAGGTGCATAATTCCCTTCCAGCCTCACCAAATACCTTGAGCCGCAACATGGGTACAGATTCTTGAGTCATGATCCCGTCTACCTTTCTCGAGCTTTCGTGCCTTTAGAAAACCGAGAGAAGTGTCCGTGGTTAGCCATCTGGGGAAGCACTCGCCTTCCATATTATGGCATTGCAGCAGGAGACCCACTTTCGTATAACAGGGCATACAACAGGGCTGAAAGGTCTGTGAGACATCAACTAGCTTCTTTGGAATGCGCTATTGACCTCTACTCGCAAGAATTTAAACATTTCCGGGGTTCCTCTCAGTTATTTTCCATCCAAATATGTCAGCTATAACAATTCGCTGAGCAATTGATACATATATTAAGCAACTCGGGTGGGGAATACGCAGTAAAGCACCGAGCGATGTGTTACTGTAGTGACTTCACCTGTCACGACTGACTCAGCCTTGAAACTGATCTTCACGGCGTTTGCGGCTTTCTCGTCCCCATGCTCTTTTGTACCCCATCTTACCACATTTTGGCGCCCGGATTCTCTTCGTCGTACAGTGCTCAAAGTGGACTGAAAAAGGAACCTATCGGGGCGCTTTTATTGTTTTTTGCTTGTGGACGGCTCGGAATCTACAGCCGATCTCGCAGCCGATTGAAACATGATCTAGCTGTACAGTACATAATAGCCTCATGGTCAGTCGACGACACCGTGCTGAGGGGCACTCCGCATAGACGCCATAGCAAGTGGTAGTGGCATCTCATGTAGAAGGTCTTTTCCCAGAAATGCTTGGTAATGCTCGAATAGTTGCTGGTGCCCGCAAAATATTGTTTTGATTTTGCCATGCTTGGTTCGGTGATCATAAGGCGCTGTGGTGCAGTGGCAAATTACGCTAATCGAATCCAGCATCGTACGTTGTGCAGGCTATTCGAGCCTTCCACCTCTAAGGTTGATGAGCGGCTGACCTTCAAAAGAGCATTGTATACACCAAGTCGCATTCAAAATCCACTACGTTGCTGAATGGAAGTGAGATGCATGGCGCATCTAACCAGAGGCTGATCATCTGAACACTTGGGCTCTTTATTTTATCCTTATAACCTGAAACAGCACGATAATAAGATAAATTCACTCCCATGCATCAGGGTATGCTTCTGCGTTCATAGTTGCAACACAGGTTCGAAATTGTTGCGTGGTTACTGAAAATCAGAGATGAGTATCAGCAGATTTATTGCACGTAAGCTGTTTGAAGTGATAAGTGATCATTATCACATGGTTGCTATCAGCCGACAATGAGATCAAGGATTCGAGAGAGAACGTTCAAGGTCGCGTGACGTAAAAGTTCAGCTGCGACCATCGACAAGATGTGGCGATCAGGAAAGCGTTTAGGTTAACGCCGATAAATATTCAGTGTAAGATGAAAACTGCTATCTCTGATAAGAAAACAGCTAACGCTTCAGGGTGGCGCAATGCGTTCGTTTTGTTCTCAAGTTTGAGCAAGGATATGATACGATTGAATGAACACGAGCAGACATCTGAACGATGACCAGTATAGCTGTGAACTTATATCCTAACCATCTAACTTCAACGTCTCGGAATTCGCGAATCTCAATTAGTGGTGTAAAGCAGCGTGACGCCACCACACCGAGTGCGCCAATCTAACGCGAACGGAGGTTTCCTGGCAGAACGTCATCAGAACTTGAGAAGAGGACGTTAGACTATTTGATTCCCATTAACGAGTGCTCTGAGAAGTAAGAAATCGACAGATTGACAATATGATGGAGGTTGTATGCAGTGTGGTCGACGTAGAGATATGTGTACGCGCTAGCGCGCGGGCGCTGGCAACCGGTCAGAACTGGTGTAGTGGCGAGTGCGGCTGCTACCCATGCAAGGATCCTAAGAACGCGTGCTCTGGACCGGTTACCCGTGTCACCGCGCCCACCAGCTTCATCCTTTCGGCTCAGCAATGATTGAACGCTTGACTTTCTGACCGAGCGAATCAGAGACACATGAGGACTGTACAGTAGACTGACCTCTACGGTTTCACTGTATAGGTGCATTTGAGAATTTAGATCAATGAAGTGGGAGAAGCTACCTGAAACGTAATAGAGCGATGCAAGTGCGCCATCCCAAAAAAGAGGACTGTTAAGGCGTAGAATGCATCAAGGTTCTTGACCGTGAGGCGTTCGAGCTTGAGCGGCGTCAAGCGCTCAACCCAGTTCATTCTGGGAGCAAACAAGTCTCAGGTCAGACCTCTCGCTTTTAAGCAGCTATGCTGAAGCTGTCGGCGAATTTTTCATTATCGGAGGCTTTTCGATAGAATTCATGACGAACTGCATGGTCAAAACTGATGTCGGCCGTTGTGATCTCTGACGGGTCATCGATCGGACATCACCTCGTTGGCGGATTATCCGGGGAGGTCGTTCGTTTCTATTCACTTTTGTTATAGTTGAGCTCGTTTCCTAGTCCTCATTTTTATGCTCTTACCTTCCGTAAAGGTTACTGTAATTCATTGTGCTAGTGCCAGAAATTGTACGGTCTCTGGTATTCTGATATCGATCGACATTTTTGATTTTATTTTTGCATTTCGTTTTCTGTTTCCACTGCTCTTCCTCTCCTCTCCCCCTACGCCTCTTTAGAAGAAAAAATCCTCTAGAATGAAATCGCCCTCATGCAAGTAAGGCGGGCATGCTGTTTTACACCCTAAGTGCAACTGGCTTCCCTCACCCCCCATCCTCCCCCACGATTGGCAACACTCCCTGGCTTACGAATTCCAAATTCTTGTGCCACCTGTATGAGCACGCGTGATAATTTAAGAATATGGCTCTTTCGTTCCACTGATAAGTGTTTTATCATTATCCACTGATCAGATTTGCCAAAAAGGGTTCCTATAACTAATGTAAGATTAAGCCTCCCATTCAAAAAGCCAGAAAGTGTCGAGTGCAGACGATACACCACAAGTGACGACGGCCTCTAGAAAATGCAAATGTTTTTTGCCAATGAAATGATTTACCTCTTACAGTTGTATTCGATCAGTTGACAGTAATTACAACTATAATAAACCTAAAGACCGAAGCTATCAACTAATGACACTACTACCAGATTTACTTGAGACGTGCGTCACTTGAAATGATGTGGTCTGCACCGCACAATTTCTGACTTTGAGGATGGTAAATGTGTTTCCATTATATAGGGGGGGGGGGGGGGGGAGCCAATATTCCGCTTGTGATCGGTAGCGGTACGCGCGGTAGACAGGTGATGAGAGTAGAGTAAGTAGGTTACTAGGGTTCTGGCACTTTCCCCGATCTCGAGAATCAAGTTTTAAATTTTTGAATTATGGCTGGGAATAACATATGCAATCAGCACATCTCCGGAACGCTTGAGGTGACCGTTTTACCAGTGCGGAGATGGTATGCACAGAAATTTTATACCAAATCATTCGGCAAGTGATGCCAAATTCGTTGACTAGAGACTCAGCTTTGAATAATTTAGTGTAGCCCCAGGAGCAGAAGGCTTGCGAGTTTCCTATAGAAGTAGGTCACGGAGCTTAAACTAAGTTTTTTGCAGATAAACCTTCCGATAAGATTGGACCTCATGAATGTTTCTCAAAGCAGGTTCACCGATAAAGTCGGAGGTCAAAGAAGGAGAAACCTCCTAGTAAGAGGGCAGAGGGCGGTACCTCTTAAGCGTGCAGACCGACAGGAAACATCCAGCGTAGGATCCCGTTCCGCTAGCGCTGCGGCACGCCCACTCTCTCGCCGTCTGAGTCTCTGACCGTCAAGCAGAGAGAGAGCGTTGGCGTTGAAGAGGGCGGCCACCAACGAGATCAGCGGGCAAACGTGGGTTCCCATTTCTCGAGTTCTAGGTCGTTTCTTATGGTTTGTCTTCATCACTGCGCCGCTGACCACTTCTACCATGATTTCTAGTGGGCTGCCTTTTCATCGTAAACTCTATTTTTGTACGGGCTCTTTTTATCCTGCCGGTGCCGTCTGATGGTGAAAGCTTTTGCCGGGTAGAGTAGAGCGCGCAGATGAACCTAGGTGGAATCCTACACTGTCACGGTAGGGCGCGAGCTGAACTTTTACAGGACTTACCATTAGTCCGTCGTCTCTACTCCCTTCTAGGAATTAAACGAGTGGCGCACGCCAAGAGATGGAAAGCGCTAAAAAATTCGCCCTTATGCATAATGAATAAGTACATCAACAGATCAAATGTAATAAGATAGATAAGAATATTTATTGATTCTCGAGTGATAAGCTGTCTGCTGACGATTTTTTGCCGGCAGACAATGAGATCAATGATTTGAGAGCGAACGTTCAAGGTCAGTCGACGTGGAAGTTCAACATTGACTAAAATGCGGATCAAGATCACTAAACGTGGAAACCAGTGATAAATGATGAGGGATAAGTGATAATTGAACGAAGAAAATGGATGTCAAGCGAAGAGTAGTGGGAAATTTCTGCGAATCCTTTCTTCGATTTTGTGATCGTCGTACACTGGAAGGATCTTGAAGCAATCCCCAAATTCGCATTCTGGAGATGCACATCGATCAGTTCGCATCTGTCAGTCAACCGATACGCCGTAAATACCTCAGAGGCAACCCATGTGATCGCGATGGAATCAGCGGGTTTGAGATCTGTAATGGGGTTGAGAAGTGCCGGAAGAGCATCTATTCCCATTGAGGTTGGCTTCGGGTCGACTTCAATGCTCTATAGCCAGCTCATAGCACGGCGGAGGACGTTTCTGGGACGAGTTTGGCTCGTCCCCTGCTTGGATCATCGTTATCTTCGCCGTTGCACACGATCCTGAAGCAAGATGAATCTACTTGATGGGTATTTCAACTGTGGGCATTTCAACAATCCATCTAGGCGGGTAGATTCGCCCTGAAATTCGATACAAATCGTTACCTGAAGATTGGCAGAGTTCAACGATGTACAGTTGACTGTAGGTAGGGGGTGGACGTCGTTGAACAAGCTGTTGTGCTTGCAGATGTATGGCCGACAACGATTGGAAAAGCACGTAATTCTGGAAAATCATTTATTTCAATCAATAGCCATCGATCTTTAAGGGATGTTTCGGCAGGAAAAAAAGGAAAAGCTAAATAACACATACAGAAGTATTGCCTGAACAAAACGTCGCCTCAAACGTGCCACGCGTCATTTTCTCGCTCGCTGACGCCAACTGTAAACGCTCACCTCAACGAACTGGAGAACGACAGCGACGAGGACAAGCGTCAGCCGGTACACAGCGTTTTCGGCACCTGCGTCCGCTTCATGGATGCCATAGAACAGGGCGCATAATGAGACAAGGATCTGAGCAGTTGGGTCATTGATGAAGAGGGTAGAAAAATCAATATTTGTGAGAAGTATTCACCTTGTATATCATGTCGGGGACCATTAAAGTTATGCAGTTCAAATAAAGCCCAGTGATGGCAATTCCGAACATGCACGAAGAAGCGCAGTACATGAGGTCCAATGCGAGCCCATAGGTGCCAAACAGCCATGAGACGATTATGAGCCCGTTCGTGTAGTTGGTCACCGACAGCAAACAGTATGTACGGCGACACTGAACGACATCGATCGATTATCGATCGATAGGTGGGAGGATTTCAAGAAGGATTTCAAGAAAATGCTCACCTGTAGCAAAGCCAACCAATCGAGGAAGCGGCTAAACATGGTCAACATGATCAAATGTGGATTCATTCTGTAACAAAAAAGTATCGTTAATTCTAGGAGCAAACAATAAATAAACTTAAGGAACAAATAAACATCAATCGATAATCGATTCAGTGAAAAGAACAAGTGGTGCAGCAAACATGTTGTAAACAAGGAGTCAAACGCCCAACTTAGGTGGTTCTGAAGCGTTTTCTATACCCAAAAGCCACGTAGCCTTAACCCCCCTCGTTGTTCCTGTTCGTTCAAGTTTCACCTCGACTTCTTTACATCTCCGGCCCGGGTTTCGATGTTGGGTGGGGGACTGTTTAGAAAGATTAACAGCCGAGTGTGGTGCTGTGTAGGTAAACAGGAAAGCGGAAAGAAGCGCTAAGCAACTGATGAAGGTCTACTCATAAGGGACCATTACCGAAATGATTACCAAAATTGAAGGATCCAATAAAATTTTTCCACCCATTAGCTCCGAAGCAATCGATTATTGGTTTAGGGGAAACTGATTGTACCAAACCGATCACCAGCCCAATTTTTGCGCAGTACAGTTTGCGCTTGTTGATTCGTGTCAATAAATGTGATCGATTAATCAATAAGGTGGTGATCAGTGTGATTGGTAGATGGTAGCTGGAGTCTTTACCTTTAATTATCCTCATCAAAGGGGCGGGGCCTGGTGGGCGTTGCTGGAAGCTACAGTATGCCAGTGAAGGATGATATGGATGAATTTCGCGATTGGAAGTGACAAAATTGTAAGTCATTGTGGAGTAAATTTCAAAAGAAATAGGTAGGAAACGGTTCTTTATTGATTAATTGTAAGCTTGGGCAGCTATCTATGGTGTCGGATGTGTTGTTGTGTAAGGATTTGCCGTGTAAAGCAGTTGGGGTCGGTTAATCTTTGTCAAATTCCCCACATATCCGATCTCTATCTATTCGCACGTAATAATATTAAGGTACCCTCGCCTTCAAATGACCAGAAATTGTGCAATTGCAGAAATTGACGTGGCATTAACGTGGCATCGATTCAAGAACATCTTTGAGCACACGTGATGTCACCTTTTCATCGAGAATTTAGCCACGTGTGATCTGGCTGCATGAAACTGAGTGTACGTTCAAAAAGTTACCAAAATTGAAGGATCGAGAGGAGTAGGAGTACAAAATTGGGCGCTATTGCAAGATACGGGGCATCCTTCAGGAATAAGCCTGAGGGAGTAGGAACTCCGGAATAAATGAATAGGGAGTTCCCTCTCCCCCGCCTGAGGCTAAGTCCCTTTTTGACAGAAAGGAAATTTTTCGCTCAGTTTTGAATGCGCTAACACCATAATGCCCCCGTATCTTGCGATAGCGCCTCAAGTTGCTTTAGTGATCATACAAAGCAAGTCTTATGACATTAGGAGACTTCAGAATGGGGAAAATCTCGGTGAACTGCGACGGGTCGATTCGACTTTTAATCCTCTTGCCGTGCATGTGACAATGGTGCCATATTCGCTGCCCTTCATCGCCCAGATCACGCTACTCCAAAAAGGACATACTCATCTTGGTGAAAAGAGAGCTGATTCCCTAGGGAGTAATTGTATGACTAATGGTAAGATAAGTAAAGGCATAGATCGGTAGGTATCCATGTCTGCTGATTGTTCTCATTACAAAGCGTAGCATTGTTTTCCTTCTCCGGGAATGCGCGATGGGAGTTCCGGTTTTTTGTTTCGTCGCCACATGAACCTTGATCGATCACCAGACCAAGTTGGCAGTCTGGAACGGGGTCGCGAGCGAGAGCGGGGGTGACTTCTGTAAACTTTGTTCTATGTCAGGAGAGAATCTCCCCGAGCGAATTGCAAGGAACAGCGGGGAAGGGTTCCTGGAACACATAAGATTACTCTATGCATGGATCCTAATGATGGGCGGAAGTGGTGTAGTGGCAAGTGGCACGCTTACCACGCGAGCGGTCCGGGGATCAAATCCTGGGTCGTGAGTCGCCCGGGCCAACCAAGCCTTCCATCCCTCCGGGGTCGGTTAATTGGTACCAGACTTGTCTGGGAGGATAAAAACACTGACTTGTACATCGGCTGGCCCCCGCAAGTCATTGTATAGGCCACATCGCATTCAAACGCCACTACGAATGTACAAATGGAAGTAGAATGCGTGCCGCATCCCAAAAAGGGATTGATCAACGGCAAATGCTTTATCCTTTATCCTTATGATTCTCCAAAGGCCTTTGGAAAACTCCCAAGGAGGAAGCGGTTATTAAATACAATGTATTTCCGAAACAATGTGCACATTTTTGTTGTGTACTTCTCTAGATCCGAATGATTGCAAACAATTTTGGTCGAAAATTCAGTATTCCACTCAACGCGACTATTTATTTGACATGCTTTGTTCTGCCGCGTGATTTCTCTTTGAATACAAGTCTACTGAGCCTCGACATCGATGCTAAAGAATCAAGCAATTGTCGGCAGGCTAGGACATCGTCTCAACGGCTGTTCAGTGCTCTGCGCCAGAAGCGGCTTACCCTAGATAAAGGTCCATCACCATTCTCTTGGATAGCTGGCTTGTAGTGTGAAGCTTTTCCCCTGGGATGTTTGTCATCTGGGTTTATCCAACAGACGCCTAGCGGAAGCTCGGTAAACGTGACGTCTCCAGAGTCCGTACGCATAGCCGTACTTATTGTGAGTCGGAATATGGGTCTCCAAAGCTAGCTTTTGGCACATTCCGGTCTTCTTGAACTTGGGGTGTGCGTCACGTCACTGAACGGAGTAGAGATCCTGAGTTCAAGGATCCATCCTCGGTTGGGTCCGGGCGCACGCCCTCACTCAGACTATGATGGGATTGACTGCTACTCGGCCGCCGGAAAATAGAGACGTTTTTAAAAGATAATTCACTTGCCAATGACCAGTCTTCTTTCCATGACCAGATCAGTAGGACGGTCGGTCGGTCGGTTGGTAATCTACAGTAACCCCAAGTCGAGGTATCCATACTTTTGGGGGGTGTCCTATGACTTTGCACCGCACTGTATTGGCTTTTCCACCTTTGATGAAAACATTTCACTTGTCCACTGTTTCCTATTCTTTCGATTGTTGAATCTTTATTCTTGAAATTCGAACGCTTTGATTCGATTCTTTCAGTGCACTATGTACCTAATCTATGGCCGCCGCAAGGCGCACTTCTTCCCATGCGCCTCTTTGGCTCCGCCCGATCTTCCGGCGACCGTTCGCAGAGTACGTTTTTCAAAGGTTTGCTTCTCTTCGGAAGTTCTCTTTCTTCAGAAACATGAAGTTTTGTACGTTGTCTGTGATTACAAGTGAGGTGCAAGTGTTGGGAAGGAATGGCCAATGTCAGACTTTGCGAATCGCGCGATTCGCTACTAGCGATTCGCGCGATTCGCAAAGTCTGACATCGGCCTAGTCCTTCACTCTATGGGTTCTTTTCCCTAGTTTCCCTGGTTTTTAACTTATTTCTACCACGTTGGCCCATTCGAGTCCTATTTTGGCTGAGTTATGGGCAAAACTCTTCTGAGCTACGGTAACCATCAAAAGCTAGGCCAATGTGAAGCGATTTCCAGGTGGCATAATTGGCAGCACAACTGCACGAAAAGTGAGAAGTGCAGCTTCTATTCCCGCGTGGACGAAGGGTTTCGCGCATAACCCATCATTTTTGTGCTTACT